CTGATTTATATATTTACTCTACTATACATTTTTATCATTATATTAAAGTATACTTGTATTTATTAAAAAAAAAAGAAGTCTGCCCCAGCAGCAACATCATACATTTCATGTTTACTGTGTGTCTCAATTTCATCCTTTTCTCTTGTCTTTGGTTGCTTTGATTGTTTCGTTCATTATGGCCTTAGGATCAATAGGCTGTAACACACACACATACACACACACACACACACACACACAACCATACAGCCTAGAGATACAGTAGGTTATCACACAAATGGCACTTTTAAAATCCATTTCTTCACTTTTTTCAGATATACATGAAAGTTTTTTTAAGAAGACTTATTCCTACTTTTATTAATGTCAATGCAAATATAAACGTGTATTTGAAGAGAAAACATGGAGGGCTCCTTCTGATTTCAAAGCTTGTTAATAAACTTATCAGGTACGAGTGAGAAACTTTGTACAACCGCTGACTGACTTCAACTATAAGAAAATTTTTTATTTTTTTGTATTTCTCTTGGGTTGGGCCTCATTGAAATTTTCTGGACTGATGATACTAGAACTGAACCCAAGGCTTTCACAATGAGCTACATCTCCAGTCCTTATTTTCAGTTTTTAATTTTGTGGCAGGGTTGTACCCTCACCAAGATCCCTGGCCAAGCTGGGTTTAAACTTGCAATCTTCCTGACTCAACCTCCCAGAGTGCTGGGACTACAACCACGGGTCTCACGCCTGGCTTCCGTTATTAGACTTTCATACTAATCCTAACAGAAAGCCCACCACCGAGGGACACATGACTGTGCTCTGCCTTTACTTAGAAGTCTGGGAAGACTTCATCAGCTCCAACCCACCACTGTCTCCTGCCTGGCTCTTTGCAACAGCTCCTCGTGGTCTTCTTGGTTCTCTCCTTGCCTGCCTCGCATTGTCTATTTTTCATGAAATAAAACATTTCCTCCTTCTTTCCCTTTTTATTCTGTCCAAGACACAAACCTATTGGCTAGTGCCACCCACTTCCAGGGTAGGTCTTTTCCACTCAATTTGCTGGCCTATATGTCAATCACCCACACATATACCCAGAACTTATGAATTTGCTTCATGATCCTTACTCAAGCCAAGCTGACGTGAATGAACACACCACTCCCCTCTCACTCACACTGCTTCAGTCGGAAGCTCCTAGCTCTTCCTAAGCACATTTCTGTTCCAGGGGTTGGCTGTTCCTTCTTCCCCAGGGTATCTGCCTGTATTGTTTCCTCAATTTCTTTGGGTTTCTGTGCAAATATTAACTTATGACAACTACTGTACTCCTTCTCCTTCTCCATTCTCTACTTCATTACCCAGCTTTGTTTGTCTCCCATAGCACTTACCACATAATATAACAAATATAGATTTTTAAAATTTATTTGTTGATATTTGTTAATCATTCTCTCTAAAACACTAAACTAGATGTTCCTTAAAATTTTAAGTTCCACAAAAGTAAAAACTATTTTATTACTATTACTTGGGAGGCTTAGATAAGATCTATATCTTTATCTGTATCTGTATCTATATCTAATCTATATGTGAATTGGTTTCTTTCTACTGAATTTTCTTACAACTAGTTGAACCCTGTGAATCAGTAGACTAGGTTCTTCAGTTTAGGTGTGCTGCATTCAGTTTTGGCTTTGATTACTATATTTGTTCTTTTTTCTTTCTTCCAAGACCAATCCTCTGCATCATGAATCTGTATTCTGTGTCTTGTGCACACAGTTGTAACTTTCATGGTTTCTACCACTGTTTCTTACACTCTGCATCCCAAAGCTCCCCAAGTTTATTGTATATACTATTGATTTAGTTTCCTAATGCAATTTAAAATTCCATGTTGCCATTATTGGATTTCTTCTATTTTCTCTTTATATCAGGCTACAACTTTTCATCTTAGACTGCTGTGATATCCCTATTTTTATATTTTCATTTCATAAAGGGCAGAAAATACATGTTATATAAAATATATTTCTATTTTTCTAAGATACATCCTTTTCAATCTTATATTTTCTTACTTTTTCATCTTCCCGTGCAATTCAAATTATTTCACTTTCTTATTTCCTAGCCTGGATCAAAATTCATGAACAAAAGTGTGTGTGCGTGTGCATGTGTGTGTGTGTCAGGGTGGGAGGGTTATCTCCTTAACTTCTCTTCCACCCGCCTGTATGCTTCCACAGTGATTAGTCACTGTTTCACAGCTGGGATATAACACCTGACACCCACAACCTAACAAGGAAAGGTTGATGGTGCTCACAGTTTCCAGGAGGTTCAGTCCAGTCTTGGTTGGCTCCAAGACAGAAGAAACGCATGCTGGGAGGGCATAAAGTAGGGAGTAGAAACAGAGGAGGAGCCTGAAACACGAACATATCCTTCCAAGTTACAACCGCAGTAAGGCCCACCTCCTAAGAGCAAGTCAGCTATTGTACCCCATGATCAAATCACCTTCCAAATATAAAAGAACATTTTTTAATTACAGATTAATGGATCTAATAAACAGTATGGCTTAGATTAGGTAAGAAGACAGATGCCATTGGAAGTCTCTGCCTTGTTTTTACTTTTCATTTGGTGAAGATACTGAGTTGGGTACCAATTATCTTTAAATTCTATGAAAGTGGATTTTTGCTTTAAGTTGACAATGTAATTCTTGGACCAGGGATTTAGCTCAGTGGTTCCGCCGCCTGCCTTGAAAGCACAAGGTCTCGAGTTTGATTCCCGGTACCAAAAAAACCAAAAAAACCCCAAACCAATGACAGTGTAATTCTGCTAATCTTCCTAGTAACACTGCTTACTCTAGCAGGGAAAAATTATACTATGTTAAGAGAAGACTTGCTTACCAGTTTCTTGTTGGATATTAACATCTTTCACCATGCTTTCTTACTGATGAATGAAATTTACACTTAGCAATTGCCGTATGTACAATGGCTTATCCTTCCTTCTTACATCATTTCTCCAAGTTTCAGAAGCAGTGTAATTCTGCTCTTTTAACTTTCCTCATCTCCTGTTGCAATTCTTTCTAGCTTCCTTTAATCTAGATCTAGCTTCTTTCACTTTAGAAATTCCTTGATGTTTGTAGCATATGTACACCATCTTCTCTACTTTCCCTTACAGATTTACAGATATTTTTGTATACTCCTCGAAATATTTTAGGCAAGACCTTGGAAACTGAAAAAAGAAGGTGCAAAAGAGTTGGACTACTGCTCTTGGATTTCCATAAAGCCATTCTTGTGACTTAGTAAAAAATTATTTAATCTATATTCACTGGATGCATAGATAAATGGATGTTGAAGACCCAAGATACTGGGTGATTTTCCCAAGTCTTTGCAGTTCATACATAACTTCTAACTACTCTTACAGAGTTCTTGTTCAGATACTATTCATGCTTCAAGGCCTGAATTAAATACCTTTTGTTCTGTAAAGATGTTTTACTCATCTAAGTCTAAAGTAGTTTTTCCACACTGAGTTTCCAAAGCATTTTTCTTTGTATCTCTCTTACTGCTTTCATCTTTGTGTTATAGTTATTTACGGACCTGTCTGACTTCACTTCTGCCATCAACGAGAAAAAATATTTCCTCAGGCATAGCAGACTTTGATTCCCTCTAGCATCTTTATAAGACTTCAGATTGAAGAAGAAAAGGCAAATTTGAATTGTCACCCCATGATTTTGACTTCTGTTATCCCAACACAGGTCCAGAAAATCTCACCCACCCCAGGAGAACAAGACTCATCTGAATGCTTGCCTTCTAAATCAAAGATTGTCAAGTCTTCTCTATAAAAGGTCAGATTGCAAATATTGCAGGTTTTGCAGGCCATAGAGTGTTGCTCTATGAACCCTGCTATTGAAGCTTGAAAAGAGCCATTAGGGGTACATAAATAAATGAAAGTGGTTCAATAAAACTCTATTTACAAAACAAGCTGTAGCTAGTAGGCTATTGTTGTCAGCCCTTACTATCAATAATTGAATTCTTTACTAAGCGTGTGGAAAGTAGACAGGCCTTCCTGTTCAGCTGTGGACACACATTTAACAGGACACCTGACCACTGTGGAAGAAAGGAGATCCCTCCCCACAATTACCAGCACCACATCTATACTTGAGCCACCCTACTTCTTCAGCCAAAAGCCAAGTAGGTTTACTGAAAGACTAGTGGTGACATGAAGACCATAGGTTGCATATCCAATCTTATCATAGGTTGCACATCCAATCCTATCAAACTTTTTGGGAAAAGTGACCTATTTCTCAATAAGTCAATATGGAAACATCTTGTGAAACAATCTTTTAAAAACTCAACAGCAAGCACCACTCTGTACCATATTTTAAAGAGATCCCATCTGTGATTTTTTTTCCCTAGCAAACATAGGTTCCAGCTCAGACAGCTGTTTGCAGACTCATGGCAGCTAACTCTGCAAACTGACCTACTTCTTCCAAACTCAGCTCTGTAAATTGTGTGGTTTGAACAAGCCCAGTATGTGTCAGGATTCTTTTTCAGATACTGCAACCTGGCTGCTATTTCATTTTTTTTCAACTTTGAAATTTGCTTTGGTGGTTTCCTAGGGTTCATAGGAAGTCTTAAGGAAAAAATAAACAATTGATGAACATGGTCATGTGCTGAAGACAGGCAAAGAACTTTCTCTGGGTTCCAGTCATACACAGCCTTCTAAGGCTATATCCTCTTTTAGGGCAGGATTCTCACCTTATTCATTCATCTTGATGTTGCCCACAAATTCTAGTGTGTTTCCTGTAGGAGCTGTTCAATCAATATTAGTGTAGTCACTGAACAAATGTATGAGAAGGGGATGAAAAGGAATAAGAAAGAAAACAGAGAATGCAGAAATATAAACATTTGCTGTTTCTCGGGTTAATCAAATTCGGTTTTTTGTTCTCGCATGCATTCATTCATAAATATTAACTGAGCACCTTCTCTGTCCCCCATAGTGATATAGTCTGGATATTACCCACCTTGCCACTTCTAGGTGTACAAAATCTGCTGGGTCAACACTTGAAATTGATTGTTGTAGAAATCCATGAGACTTAATTCTTAATCTAAAGGAGTAAAATGAATTCTGAAAATGACTGTTACTTGTACTCATAACTTCATAGCACCTTCCTGTAGCTGCAGACATATATCACCAATTGAAGCTTCGGAGTACTTCTTGTATTTTGATAATGACTTCAATATAGTTAGTTTTTCTTATTTTATTTTATGCATTTAACATTAATTTGAGAAACAGTCTACAGATCTAACCAAAATTCCAAAGGAGACAGTGGTATAACATTTTTACAGTAAGACTCAAAGTACAGAGCATGGAAAGACCTACTGATTTTCATTAGATCTGCATGGAATACATATATATATATATATATTCTATAATATTCCATACTATTAATAATTATTATTCCTAATAGTTCTGAGTGGCTTTTGAGTTCTTTAACATCACTAGGATCCAGGATGGATATACTATAAATAGCATGCACTTTAGATTCAATATTCCCTGAACTCTACCTTAATAAAACCCTGGAAAGGATGACAGACCTATGTCAGCTTTTTCATTATAGTAGCCCCAAATCATTAAGATCTTAGTTGTTATTCATATTTAGCTTATTTAATTAATCTCCATAGCAGAATTTTAAAAAAGGTGCTATCAGAATTCCCACTTCAAAGATAAGGAAACTGAGGCACAGAAAGGATAAATAACTTGTCCAAAGTCTCATAGTTAGGAACTTCAGGAAGTCTGGCCTCGAGGTCCAAGCACTTATCCTTTGCTATTGTGCTAGGCACGGGTCTGGGTACACCAGTCCAGGGTCCCCATCTCCTACCAAGTGAGTGAGCATCCAGCCCCCACTTACTACAGGAACTTGTATGTCTGCTCCTTCCTGGTTGGCCTCTGCTTAACACTGTGGGGTTCCCTGTACTTTGATACATTAGAGTATTTCAGAGGAAGAATTGGGAAGAAAGAACTGATTTGTTTATTTTTGCTTTTTTTGTTTGTTTGTTTGTTTTCCAGTACCAGGGATCGAACTCAGGACCTTGTGCTTGCAAGGCAGGCGCAATGCCACTGAGCTACATCCCTGGCCCTTATTTTTGCTTTTTTGTAGTATAGTTATATATTTCCCATGCATTTTATTGATCATTTCTATGTGTGTGGATTGGAGAAAGTTGAGGTTTTTACCTGTACTCATGGCACCACCTTACCCACAAGTCTTCAATTCATTCTGTTACTTAAGTGATGTTTCTTAAAAAGTGGATTAGATGCTTCTCAATTCCTGCAGAATGAAAACACAGGTTTTTTGCCATGGCACACCGCTTGAATTCATGCAATCTTTTCAGTTGGATGACCTACCATTCTTTTTATTCCTCTCATGTTTCAATCATACTAGATTATTTGCTCTTTTCTCATAGTGCCTGATAAATTAGTACCATGAGTTAATATTCAAGGCCCAGTTCAAAAATCATTTCCTCTCTGTAAATTTCCTTGAGAGATTAATTATAGTTCATTTATGGTTCCAAACACTTTATGCAGTGGTCTATCACACCATTTAATCACATTATAACCTTAGCTTGTCCATCTTTCTTCTCTACCTTCTAAAACACGATAATGTGTCTTTATCTTTGGATTCATATTACCTAGCACACAGCCAGTGTCTAAATATATACATATATACATATATAATGTATGTGTGTGTATGTGTGTGTGTGTGTGTGTGTATATATATATGTATATATAGTGTGGATTAGACCAACATCCATCCCTCACTCTCTGAAGTCGTGTTGCTGGTTTATATCCATGGCGTTCCCATAGGGCAGTTGTTCAAAATCTACAGAGCAACATGGTGTAGAATTGGAAACAAATAGATTAACTTAGGTGTAATTCACACAATCAAATGTTCTCAGGTTAAAAAGAGATGCTAAGAGCCATGTAGTCCACTTTTCCATCATGCAGGTATTCCTGAAAGTTCCCCAACCTAGCAGTCATCTAGAATTTGCCATTGTGTAATTGGCCTGTCTTTATCCCATGCACACAAAGTGTTCATAGCTGGCATCCTTCCTGGTGCTGGGTCTCTACTCACCCTCTGGGGCCTCCCAGTTCTGCAAGTTCAACGGCAGTGAAAAGTGCATCAGAGCACACTGTCTCTCGAGTGTCTTCTAGTCTCCAGCATTGCACGTCCAAACAAACTGATAAGGGTAGCATTAATGGTAATGTCTGGTAATGTCTCTTCTATTTATTTTCTAGTGTACTAGCTCTTAGCATCTCCTTGGACTTTGCTCTTTTTGTACTGTAGGATAAATTTCTTGAATGTCTCACCCATAGATGTACTCTTCCCTAATGCCACTGCTAATGTGAATTTTTCTCCTCTTTTCAGATTCTTCTGACTGAGTCAGTCAGGACATGGGGAATGCTCACTTGGGTAAGAAAGTGATGGCAGACACTTTCCTACAATTCCCAACCTCACTCCCCTTCATAATAGAGCAATGCTAGCCATGTGTCAAAGTCAGCTTTTGTAACGAGCTGAGTCACCACCTGGTTAAGGTCATACTCTTAAGCTCGCTCTCCTTTGTGTTTCTGTGGAGCTGAAGTAGAATGCTCACTCTGGGCACCTCTGGCCCACCACAATACACCTCACTCTAGTTTTTCCTCTCCTGAATTTGTTTGCACACTTTCATCTGATCAATCAGAAAAGATAAGCTTCAAGATGTCAGTTTTTTTGCTTCATAATTGTACACGTGAGAGACATCCCTTAGTCAATAGGATCAGTCACATACTGTAGCCTAGCTCAGTGGTGGCGAACCGATGGCACATGTGTTCAGACAAGGGATGTTAATGTGTGAGTTGTTTTTCAATGTTTAGATTTAATTGCAGTGTTGGCACTTTGTGATACATAAGTGGGTTTGGGGTTTTAATCTGGGCTCTCATGTCTAAAAGGCTTGCTGTCACTGGCCTAGCTTATTGGAAAGATTTGTGCTGGGTGGAGGACATAGGTTTGGTAATGAGAATGAAGTGGAATTTGATTCCCATTGACCATCATTTTTTGTGTATACAAATCTATCCAGAGTAACCCACCAGAGAGCCCATTTGTCTGGATCAGATCAGGGCTATCACAGGGACTGCATCTCTAAAGGGAAGTGACTACTTTGGACAGACTCTGTATGAATGTCCCAGAGATGTGGCTTGCAAGGGGACCTTTCAGTGCACTCGGGCCCTCTGGACTTCTATGGGTGAAGAGGTCAAGGAAAAAACCATGACACCCTTTAGAAAAGCAAACGATGGAAACCAGCTATTGGGAGGAGAGACCTTTGTGGCAGGACTTGTCACACTTTCAACAATGTTATTCTTTCCTACAAAGAGAAATGGTGTTTGCGTCAAATCCATCTCTCTCCAGCATGTCTGCTATGGAAACCAGGAGAAGTGCGGGTGTAGTGCCCAGCGCAAAAACAGACATCTGCCACTCGCAGTCACACACCATCAATTCAGCCAAACAACTTCATTTTCCAAACGCATAATACCTCTTACATTTGGACAGCTGTCACCAAACAGACATGGACTCAGAGAACCTCCCAGACAAATTCATTTTCGGCTGTGCAGTGTAGGGTGAAAGATGGGTCTGTCTGGACAAGTGGTATTTTCAGCTGGGTAGAGCCCGCTTAAACTTTTCAAGGCCCTGACTGCATGTGCTGCTCTGCACTTTCACTTGTTGATATGGCCTTGAGCATACAGGACACAGGAAATCATTATGTGGGGAAGGAGGCAGCTGTGATGCTATAGAAGAAGAGATGGGTGCCAGAGATGGGATGATGAACACAACGCAACCTGAAACACATAGATTACCACTATATGTCTATCTTCATATAGTCCCACTGACATGTTTAAAATACACAAAAATGAATGTATAGTTCTCACCCTCCATGTTCTTATACAAACTATCTCAAGGCAAAATCTCTGAGCCAAATTTTCCAGGCATTCTTCCCTCATTCTGCTATAACAAAATACCACCGAAAGGGTCATTAGTAAAGAAAAGGAATTTGTTTCTCATGGTTCTGAAGGCTGGGAAGGTCAGTATCTTGGGAGGGTCTCTTGCTGTTTCTTAACATAGAAGAAGGTATCATATGAGAGACAGTGAGCAAGAGATCAAACTCCCAGCCTCCAACCATTTAACAACTGCTATCCATGCATTCCTGAGGGTGGAGCCCCCAGACCCAAACATCTGCCATTAAGCTCCACCTCTTAACACTGTTGCCTGAAGGATTAAGTTTTCAATACATGTCTCTTAGGGGACACATTCCAATCATAGCTACTTTCAGATGTAAATCCAAAAACTTTTAAGCAAGTGGTTCTGTTTATTCAAGTCCATTCCTAAAGAGATTGGGAAATTATCCATTTTACTTTCTATGGCTTGTTCCATTGCAACAACTTAGTACCACCGAGTACATGAGGGGCCCTCCTGGTCTGGGACAGGACAAAGATAGGAAAATTAAAGATGAAGCATGAAATAATAAGAAAAGTCACTTCTCCAGAAAATATGTGCAGCCATGTTCACTTGATGCCTGATCATTTGTCAATGGCCAAGGCCACTGTAGGGAGAAAGAGGTGGGTGTAGACAGCAAAGAGGGCAGAGTGCCTGCAAAGGGGCTTCCCAGTGGGGTGAGTGCTCACGCCTGGTCATGAGGAAAGGAAACACTGTCGTGGGAAACCCAGGGAGAAACTACTACTCTCTTCTGTGCCGCTCAACTTTGTCTCCTCTCTTTTCAGATTACAATCTGGAGATCACTCTTCTCATTCTGCCCATGTAAACCTGTTCCTTGCCATTTGTGAAGTACAAGCCAGTGTGTGAAGGAGTCAGCTTTCCTACTGAATCCTCTCCCATGTTTGGCTTAGGAATTATTATACCCAATTTGCAGCTGAAAAAAACCAAGAGACAAAGGGATGGTTTCTGATCAAAGCTACTATGTAGTTAGTAAAGTGGAAAAGACAGGCGTCTGTGTGATTGCCCAGTATAGAGTTGGGGGTTCCCAGGTCCTTCTGTCATCCCCACTTAGACAGTGCTTGCTATTGGCTACCGTGTCTGCTCTCAAACTGAACATGAGCTACATATTCTTCAATAACTTCAAGTTTATTTCTCTTAATAAAAAGAGAATTATGAATTATGAACCCCCATTTGTGGATGGAAATCAATAGAGCTTAGATATTTGATGTCATTCCAACTTGAAGGAAGAATGGGAATAGAAATACCTACCCAAATCTCCAAATTGAAACTCACTCCAATTACTAGCTATAAACTGCTGGGTACATTACTTCTCTGACTCTCAAAATTTCTAAGCAATGGGAATAATAACATGTATTCCAACCTGTGTTATGATGAGGATAACCAGGTGACTGTTATTGAACACACTAGCAGCCTGGGTCTTATCCAGCTGTTTTGCGCACACTCCATCTATAGCTAAAAGCAAGTTTCAATTTCCAAGACAGAGGAGTACTAGCTCAGTATCACAATCCTTGAATAAATTCTGCGTAAAATGTCCCCCAAACCACCACCTGAGAACTCTAGAGTATGAGGGAAAACAAGAGACTTTGGAGGGGAGTCAAAACTTGAAAGAAGATGTCTTAATGAGATGACTTTCTTATTTTGGGAATTTTGCCCTGATGGCAGACTTCAGTGATGATGTAGAGAAGCTAAAAGTATATGTAACCCATGGTCATCTGACCAATGGAGCAAGAAGATGGGATATAGAGCAACCAGGGCCACTGAGGTACAAGAAGGAAATCTCAAAACAGGCAGGAGCTAAAGAAGAATCCCAAATTCTTTGCATAAACCTGGCCCAAGTTTCTAATAGGCACATGGACCGCATATGCACAAGATGGACTAAAGCATCTCAATTGTTTCTAGTTTTGATACTATGAATAATGCTGACATGAACATTCACATACACCTGTGAGAGTGGACATATTTTTCATTTGTCTTGGGTGTATGCCTAGGAGGAGACCTGCTAGGTCATATGGTAAATCTCTGTTTAATTTTGGGGAACCACTTGTTTTTCAAGGTTGCTGTGTCATTTTATATTCCACACCACCAGAATATAAGACCTCCCATTTCTCCTCATCTTTGCCTGCACTGATTATCTGCCTGTTTTCATTATTATAGCTATCTTAAGGGCATGAAGTGTTATTTTATTGTGGTTTTAAGTTGCACTTGGCTGATGGCAAATGATATTGAGCAATTTTTCATGCGCTTATCACTCAGTTATATATTTTCTTTAGAGAAATATCCAC